CGGATAGTGGGATTGACCGTCACATTATAACACCTCCACGGCTGAAAGGACGAGCATGTTTGGTGTAACGGGGATAAGAATATTGCTTTCCAACCAATGTGTATATATATTAATGTGAAGTGTGTCCCAAGATATCAAAAATCTGTGAACTATAACTACTCCATGATTACAAGATTTGTACAAATGTTTAAAATCTTGCCTTTGTAAACCAACAGCATACGTGTGTGAAACCTAATTCTGTAAATCAAACAGAACACTATATATATGTGTAAAACCTGCCCTCTGTAAATCAGAACAATATACATGTGTGAAATCAGTCTTTGTAAACGAAGTCATTCCCTCATTGTTATAATCTGTTAAACTATCTTCTACGTTCCCTCATTGTTGTAACAACGAGTTTAAAATAACTTTCACCAAGTCATTCCCTCATTGTTATAATCTGTTAAACTATCTTCTACGTTCCCTCATTGTTGTACCCTGTTCTTAACTTGTTATGAGTTCTGAAATTATAGGTTATTTATTATGTACATAATTGATACTGATCGACATTGTAGATCGTTAAATTAATTTATTAACTCGATGTGGTGATCAACTTTAGAAGTGTTGTGTTGAAGGTATCATCTGGTTTACCTATCCAATCCCTGATCATCAAGTGTTAACTAATAACTGAAACAGCCTGACTGCGTGGATAATGTTTTCACTCTTGTGTGTGTGAACGATATAAATATATGTGTTTTCATCTGATTATTATCAAATTTGGTACAAAAGTTGATTGGCTACCAAGGACCAACTAGATAACTTTTAGTGAATATTGATCAAGAATCAAGTCACACTGAAACTCAACTACTTTGAATATAGCTCAAGGATAATGTCACACTGAAAGTCAACTACTTTGATTATAGCTCAAGGATCAAGTCACGCTGTAAGTCAACTACTTTCAATTCAATGGCAGCAAATTGGGAGTTGGAAAAACGATCGAATATCGAGAACAAATTGTGATAGAATAAGGATCTCAGCATCTGACCTACGTTTTAAATAGAATGAGGATCTCAGCATCTGACCTACGTTTAAAATAGAATGAGGATCTCAGCATCTGACCTACGTTT